TTCCCTTGGTCTTTAATCTTTATAGTTTATACTAGTGGCTAGTAATAATATGGATTTGTTTTACCTAGTGGTTATAGCAATAACAGGTACTTCTCGAGAGTTATGCAGACATTTTGAGTTTTGCTAACAGTAACTCCGGTTTAGATCTTTTCACGGGTAACTTAAGTGAGTTGAGTCGAGTCAAAATTTTCATGCAGGGTGTTGAACCGGAACTAACAAATTTATAATTTTTAATATTTATGAAGCAATTAATATTATATTTAACATTCAAGTTAATAAAATTAGTTTAGTGGGTGCCAAAATATCCCCAAAACGAGGGAACTTTTTGTCCATGGGGTGAATTTAGACACTATGAAGTCTTTTTAGGGAACTAAAAGAAATTTTTAAAAAAGGTTTTCAACTATCTCCATAATTATTCAAAGAAACAGGCTAAAGCAAATGATGTCAGTAAAATCCTTGGATTATTTTCCTGAAAAAAAGGCCTTCATTTTATTTTGCTTTCGATCCATAGATTCATTTTCAATTTCAACTCATGGTACAATTCAAAGGTAGGTTAAAACAAAGTTGCGACCTTCAACTTTCAGGAGAGCAATTAATGCCAACCAAACTTCACCTATAAACATAAGGGGAAGTTACACGGGTGACCAATTTTCATTTCAACGTTTAAATTTGATCAATCATACCACTCAATTATTTAAAATTTTCAATTAAGCCATTGACCGTTAATCTTTAACAGTGTGATAATGTATCAGTTAATAAAATTGACATAATTATATATTTATTTCTTAATACTTATATGTTCTATAAATTCAGTCTTAAATTTAATTTAATTTAAAATATTAACCCTCTAATTTAGAGGTGTCATGTGTTAATATTATTGAACTGTTATTTTTCATTAATTTTAATATTTTAATTGAATAAATTTTCTCACCAATATATGGTGACACATGTCATCACTTGTGTAGAAAATAAATGGTTAAGGAAATACTTCATGGGAGGTTCGAATCTAAGGGCCCCAAAAGTCCTAGGGAACATCTCAACCTCACCACCTGTGTAGGGAAAATAAATGGATAGTGAAATTCTTCTTGCGAGGTTCGAATCGAAGGACCTCAAGAATCCTAGGGCACATCTCAACCACCGGGCAAAATGCCCAATTTGTCTTTTGGTTGAAAACTTTGCTATATATTTTTATTTAAGTTATTCAACATATATATATATATATATTATAGTTAATGCAAGATTTAAAAATAAAAATGAGCTTGATATTTTTATAATTTTTAATTAATTTTTCACAATTATTTTTAAACAATTGTAAATATAAAGTAAATGACAAATAATTTTTGAAAAATTTGAAGAAAAAAAGTTAAGATTCAGATTATAAATTTATTTTATGATTTAAGTTGTTTTTGATTTTGGATAGATGTGAGCGTTTAATCGAGTCGAGTAAAAAATTGAGTTCTTCAAGTTGAGGAGTTCTATTTTATAACTCGAAGTTGACTTGAAATTTTTTCAAGTCGAGTTTATAAAATTCGAGTTGAGTCAAGTCAATTTGATTTTTCGAGTTTATGTTTAAATGTAATTGTAATATTTATAATATACATATATTATACACAGTCGAGGGACTTAACTCAAACTTGAAAATCAATTCACTAATTACTAAAAATATTGAGTTATTCGAGTTGTATTTTACAATTCAATTTGAACTTGAAATTTTTTTGAGTCAAGTTTATAAAATTATGACTCGAAATCAATTCGAGTCAAGTTAAGAAAATTGGCTTTTTGAGTCGGGTCAAGTTTTGCTCACCCCTAACTTTGATTTCACTAAATGAATTTGTAATATAATTCATATATAATTTTTTTTAAAAATTGCGAAAAATAATTTAATTTAAAAATATAAAATATTTTTTAATATTAAGATGTGAATTTAAGATAAGATAAAATAAAATATTTTTTTTCAATATTAAGACACGGATTTAGTTAAGATAAAGAATAAATTATACTTTTAATATTAAGATGTGAGTTTAAGTTAAGATATATATAATATTTTTAATATATTTTATATTAAAAAATATTAAGAATTTAAGATTACACCAAGTTACAAAATATGTTTTTTGACCCAATACCCCAGACGGAAAAATTAATTAGTCCAATAGGCCAAAAAAATTAATTTGCAATCTATGACATTTTCTATAGTAAACTTGGAATTCGTTACGTCGAGGAAACGAGTTCTATTGAAAATAATTTTTTAATGGTCCCAGGTATGTAGGCCATATGTGGGCTAATATTTTAACATTTCCATAAGGACTCGTCACGTTGACGTGATAGCTTCTTTAGAAATCTTTATTTTTTAATTTACTAAATAATTTGAAAATATAAAATAAAAAATTGTCAATCTCGTCACTTTGAGGTGATGAGTTTGCCTTGAATTTTAAAATAAGTACTCGTTTTTAGCTGTTGCACAATGAGCAAATTGTAACATTATCATAGAACTCGTCACCTCGAGGTGATGAGTTTGGTGAGATTTTTGAAAAAAAACTACTCGTTTATGGCTGTTGGGTTTGAGGTTATAAACAGGGGTTTTGTGTTTAGGTTTTTTTTATTTTGTTTTGTTAAGAAAAAATTCAAAAAATTCAAAATTTTCGAAAAATGTCTACCCACGATGAAATGTTATGCCTCGATGATGTCCATATCTTCGTCGAGCTCGGTCTGAAAGAAGAATGGGTGTTCGCAAAGAGGAATGAGACTTAGAGATACACCTCAACGGATTATTATATATTTGTAACAATTCGAACTGTATCCGACGACGTTTTTGTGTGGTTTTAAGGTGAACCCCACATTGAGTACGGCTCTCATTGAACGTTGTAGGCCGGTGACACATTCCGAGTAGTAAAGCGACAATTACATTGGAAGATGTCGCTTACCAACTCGGTGTTCCAGTTAATACTGCAACAGTAGTGAGGTACAATAGTTTCGACCGATTCGAAATTGTTCACCAAGTTTTGGGAAGATGCCACATCAGAGTTCTTAGAGGGGTATCAAATACAGATCACTTGGTTGGAATTAGGGGTGCTTATCGAACGAGTTGATCACGAGTTGGCAGTGCTCAACTCGTGCTTGTTAAAACATTTTGCTGTTTGTCTCGACTCGTTGCTCGTTAAAATTGTGCTCGACTCGTGCTCATTAAAAAAATTTGCTGCTCAACTCGACTCGTTGCTCGTTAAACTCAATAAAAAATTTACCTTATTTTTTAACTAAAAATAAAATTTACTAATACTATATGAGGATATTAGGTTTGGGTTTGTTTTTTTGTATTAAAATAATATTATTTATTAAAAATAATAGATTAGTTAACTTATTATTTTTATTATTTATTAATAAATTAATTATTATTATTTAGATTTATTTTTTGAATGAAATAATATTGAAGTAATTACTAAAAAATATATTTTAAAAAATTAACTAGTTGCTCACGAACTTATCGAGTCGAATAAGATTTTGCTCGGCTTAGGTCGTTAAGGTCTCGAGTCGAGTTCGAGTTGAGCCAACTCGAGTCGAGCGTTTATCGAGTTTTAACTGAGTCGAGTTCAAGTTGCTTACGAGCTGCTCAACTCGTTAAGCACTCCTAGTTGGAATCCAAATTTCAAGTGACGTACGACTCTACCGAAGCTAAGGTGATTTTTGTAGCTCGAGTTTATCTACTCCAATTGATTGGAGGGATATTGGTATTATGTAAATCTGGAAATTTGACACACATTCAATATCTTCCGAATAAATCTGCTCCAATTAAAATATGTTTTGACCTACTGGGCCAATTAATTTTTCCGCCTGGGATATTGGACAAAAAAAAAAAAAACCTACAGAATATATATCACATGTAATCCACTTTAAACCAAAAAATTAACTTGGCTCAATGGTTGAACTTCCCTTTAGTCACCTAAAAGACCCATGTTTGAGTTTTATCTCTCCCCGTAAATAAATTTCATTCTCCAATTAGATGGAGACACAATTTGATTTGAGAGTTAAATTTATTTTAATTTATTAAAATTAAGATCAAATTAATAGATATACAAGTTCTAAATACCAAATATATAATTATGATAATTTTTTTTTGTAACCACCTCTATTAAAAATTAATGGCTAATAGTTTGACTAAAATATTTAAATAGTTGGATGATCTAATTGATCAAATCAAAACGTCGATAGTCAAAATAAAAATGACAATCATTTAATGATCACCCAAATAGTTTACCCTAAACATAAATACATCAAAACACAAATTCACGATCCCCATACCAAATCTGATGATTATTTTCAAGAAAATTGGTCCCCCACCAAAAAAAAAAAATGGTGGTGGATAATTGTATGAAAATGAGGTCAATATATTTTGTCTTTCGCAATAGGTTGTATTATGCGTATGTTGAATAAGAACAAAAGAGACAAGTCGACATAAAATTGTTAGTATAATAACTTGAATGAATCTAACGGGCTCATTCATTTCAAGAATTCTTTTTTAAAATTTGGGGATTTGCCATTACTTCAACTGTTACTGGCTTTTTTTATTGATCGTGCAAGAAGACATTTCCGCAAAACCAATTAACTTGCTTTAAACCTGCTGCTGAGTTTCTTCGAGTTCTGTAAACACTACAGCTAATACAACCAATATAGTAATTTACTAAAGTTTTCGGTGTTTAAAGTTTGAATTCCAAGCATCTTTCTTTTAATTTAAAAGCTCGAATGAACTTAGAGAGAAGCTTATTTGTTTAATCATAAGAACCTGTGAAACAATAATAAAATATATACTGTGAAAAACACAAGCTGGAAACCAACAACGAATGGAAGGGCCTGAACCTAATGTACCCGTTTGAAAGAGGGGCCCATTCTTTTTCTGCATTTCAAAAAATCTTTCTGTTTAGATGTTTGAAATCCATCGATATGGCCGATAAAGTGCTGCAACACCATTGACCACAGATGATTTCTTCTCTTATAAGCCTGATGTTTTCTTGAAATTACAACAACTATATCATTTCACTGTCAACTCATCTAAAAAACAACCCTTTCCTCTCTGGGTTCTTGTTTAGCTTTGACTCTGAACCAGATTGCTTACTTTGCCTCAAACTTTGTATTTATTACTGCTGTTGTAGTAGTATAAGAATTACACTGCTCGTTTCGGTTCAAATTGGGAAGCTTTTGAGAACACCATGAGTGCTTCCAAGTTCATTAAATGTGTTACAGTTGGAGATGGAGCTGTTGGCAAAACCTGTATGCTCATTTGTTACACCAGCAACAAGTTCCCAACCGTAAGTTACCCCCATCTGCTTAAAACAATTGACTCACTTTCATTTTCACTTAACTTCTGGGGTTTTTGAAACTTCTGGATAGGGTTTAAAGTCGTTCTTTTTCTTTTTCAGGATTATATACCGACTGTGTTTGATAATTTCAGTGCCAATGTGGCTGTGGATGGGAGCATTGTTAACTTGGGCTTATGGGATACTGCAGGTGTATAAACCTCCTGGTGGTTATCCTTGGCGGCTTGCTGGATTTTTTTGGAAGATCTGTTAGATTTTCATTTGATGCTCCATTTCTGATTTGTTTTTGGTTTTTCATCCGATTTAAAGGTCAAGAAGATTATAGCAGGCTAAGGCCACTGAGTTACCGAGGTGCAGACATATTTGCCTTGGCTTTCTCGTTAATCAGCAGAGCAAGCTATGAAAACGTTCTCAAGAAGGTACTTTCTTCAAGCAAATGTTCATTTGCTTTGCCGTGTTTCGTAGAAAAAACATTTTTAGTGGAGTCTTCATGAATCAAATAAAGTTCAGTCAGGATCTGTTTAGTTTGTTTTATCCAAGCTCCCTAATCTTTCCGTTTTGTTTGTCCACAGTGGATGCCAGAATTGCGTAGATTTGCGCCGAATGTTCCCATTGTTCTGGTTGGAACAAAATTAGGTAGGCTGCTATTTTGAAACTATGATCATATGATGCTGCAGTTATGCTTGTTTGAATAGACGGAGTTTGTGAATAACACTGAATAATGTCTCTCTATATAAATCAGATCTTCGGGATGACAGAGCATATCTTGCTGATCAAATGGGGTATGATATTATAACATCTGCTCAGGTATGCATTTCTTAAGTTCGACTCGGTTCGAAATTCATTTGCCGAAACAATTTCGCCTATTTGGCATGAACCTAAGCAGCTCTTGTGGATCATGCTACATAGGGAGAGGAACTGAGGAAACAAATTGGTGCAGCAGCTTATATAGAATGCAGCTCCAAGACTCAGCAGGTGAATTCCATGTCGTCTATATTCAGGCTTGGATCGTTGCCTTTTCCATGAATACAACTTGATGTTTGTCGACTATAACAGAACGTCAAGGCCGTTTTCGATACAGCCATCAATGTTGTTCTTCAACCCCCAAGGAGGAAGGAGGTGGCAAGGATGAAAAGGCGCCGAAGGTCTGGCTGTTTGATCGTGTGAGTAGCTCATTTCTTTTCTTTAAGTACTTTGGTTACGAAATCCTGATTCTTGAAGATTCCAAAAACATGACCAGAATTAGAGGGTATGATCATACCAATTCTTCGGGAGTGTGCCCCATAAAATATTCTTCAATACCCACTCACTCTAATCCAGTAAATGTTTCCTATGAATTCAGTCTTTAAGATCACTCTACACTATTGTACTCCTTTTAGGCACCTCCTAGTTGTCAGTTTGGTAGCGGAAAACGAAGTTACCAGTGGTCATTAGGTACAAATGTATTTACTTATTTGCTATGTATTGCAGGAGTTTGGTGTGTGGAGGATGTGATGCATAAATAGGAGATGACAGTTGTGGGTTGCTAATCCTAGACAACTGATGAACATCCTTACTGGTTTAGACATATTCTGCTTCCTGAAAGGGAATTTCATCACATGTTTTTAATGTTTTTTCGACATGTTGTGGACCAATAAACTGATCCGAAGGACAGAAGGGAATTGTTCATTCTCTCATGAATTATTAAATTAGTACTTATAATACTGTATGTGTTGTAAAAGTTTATCTACTGGTTTTAAAATTCCACCTTTCTAGTTAGTTCTGCCATGTTATATGTCCAATTAGCCATTACCCAATACTTGGCAATTGTTAAAGTATTTGTATGGTTTGTAACGCCTCAAACTGATACAGGTGACTTGATTCAATCCGATGTATCATTAAGGTCACCAGAACAACCACAATAAAAATATAAAAAATAAATTTTTTGTTAACTATTTCAAATCATAAAATAATTATAAATAAATTGTACTAGTTCATAAACATTTATATTTAAAAAATAGAATTTAGTCATACACCAGTATCAAAACAAGTTACAAATTCCAATATACATACAAAATGTGATCTATATGTTCCCTAAATACACATGTACCATACGTTGCCAGCAACTCCAAAGGAATTGTCATACTGATGTCAGTAACTGCACAAGATCAACTCTTTTCACCTGAAATGGTGAATAATAGATAACTTTGAGAAAACTCAGTAATACAAAACTACTAGATGATACTAAATGACAGTCAAATATATGGTAAAGCATAAAACTTTCCTTTTTATTCAGGCAACTACAATTTTCATAACGACTTGAGATTTATTTAATTAATTCTTTAGGTAGTAGATGGGAAACCTAAGGTCCAGAGGAAATGTAATATCCTAAATTTGGCTAGTGATCAAAAATATAATTTTTGAAAGTTTAATGGCCAAAATTAATCTTAAGAAAAGTTTACGAACCAAAGTGATAATTTTCTTGAAAAGAAATTTTATTCCTTAAATGAATAGTTTACCCAAAAATGACATTTTTGTGGGTTTCAAATTTTTGATATTAAATTTGTATTAAAAACTATAAAGCGATAAAGTCCGGGAAAAATTTGGATAATCGAATCGAATCTAATTTTTGAGATATTTTGAAGGATGATAGAGGAAGGTTAATAATTTCATTTCTATGTTTTAATATGGAAGGATTTAACATGGACCATTGCATTTAAATTGATTTTTCATGTTAAATTAGGACCGTTGGATAAAAATGACAAATTATAATTTTTAAAAAGTACAAGGGTAAAGTTTGAAGTTATTAACGTGTTGGTTTATTTTTGACCATATAATGATTATTTTTGACACGTGGCTTCATAATTTACATGAGAATTTAATGCCAAAATGGTCATTTGACTTTATATGAATTTTTAATTCATTTTAGCCTTCAAAATGACAAATGACATTAGACTTTTTATTTAGAAAAAAGCAAGAGTTTTTGTCATTCTCTTCTCCATGGACGTGAGCTTTTTACAAGGTAAGGGAAATTTTTCTTTTTGATTTTTCAAGCAACTTTAGTTGGATTTTGTAAGAAAACATGAAATAGAAAATTGTTTTGCATGAAATTTTCTATCATTTAGTACTACTTGTTCATGCTTTCCATGCTTGAAATCTTGAATTCTTGAATTGGGTGAATGAAGGGGAGGTTAGGTTTTCATGTTTTAAGGCTTGATTATGATGTAGTTGAATCATTTCCATGCTTGAAAAGTGATGAAAAATAATTAGAAATGGTTAAATCAAGGTTTGGCCGTTTAGGGTTTTTATAGAAAATAAAGTTGAATTGAAATTGATATGGAATTGATTGTAAAAGCTTGGAAATGACATGTAGAAGATGAATTAATGCTTGAATCAAGTTAGAAAGCAAGACCAAAGTGACCTTTGGTATTAGGTCTAAAAGAAAATATTAGGAAAAAATTATAAAAAATTTACAAGGGTTAGAAATGATGAATGAATGATTTTACAAGTTTTAAAATCTAGTTTGGACCGATTTGGAAGTTTGTAAAGGTTAGGGGACCAAATCACATAATATTTAAAATATGGGTTTAAAGTGGAAATTGATTAGAAGTTGACGTGTAGTGTTTAAATGGATTGTTGACATACTTGGATATGTTATTAGAAGTTGAAATGGCAAGGGACCATTTTGATAAATTCAAAATGTTAGATAAATTTTAAAAGAATTCATTTCATTTTTTGATTTTCTAGTTGGCATGTATATGTATAATAAGTGTTTGAAATATTTTAATATGGCTAGATTTAAAATGGGTCAGAAATGCTCTCATATATCTATGATGTTTAAATGATTAGTAATAATTTATATGTACGGATTTTAGTAAGTAAAATATAGTTATAAACATGGAATTTAGTTTTGTATTTTGATAAAGTTATACTTTATCAGAGTAAAGATAAATTTTTATTTAAGCAATTTTAGGCAGTTTCACTTAGAATATGATAAAATATTGAACTGCCATATTGTTGTCTGAAATAAAACTTGATTTTAATGTTAGAATATTTGGTTTTGATTTTACACGATTAAATATTTTTCATGATTGATGTTAAATTTGATGATTTAAAAAAAACAAAATTTTATCGATTTTCGAATAATAGACATTTGAGGTGATGTCTCTGACTCGTATTTAGTGACGAACATGGGAAAGAAGTGTTATATTTATTAGTATAAGAGCTATAGGTTAGCCAATTCTAGGCCTAAACCGAGTTTGTTTTGAGTTGAAAAGTGTATACTTTCCACTAGGATGTCATTGTTATTGATCTAGTGTCTATATGATTGATTGATGACACTCCTTACTAATGTAAGTATATATGTATTTGAATTATATGTTTGAAATAGAAGATTTGAGACAAGCGATTACTTCCCCTACAATGTCATAGTGAACTATCGCTTAAAGCGATTAATTCCGAAAGACTCGAAAGGTTATGAGATTATAGTGGGCGGTAAAAGGGTAAATCGATCATCTAATGTGATTTCAGCAATAATTGCCAAAAAGTTATCATTATAAGGTTATCAAATTTTCTTAGATAATGTGGTGGATACTCATGTTTCAAAAGTTAAGTTAGAAGATGTTCTAATGGTTCGAGAGTATCAAGATGTATTTTCAGATGAATTGTCTGGATTACCTCTAGATTGAGAGGTAGAATTTAAAATAGAGGTTCTATCTTGTTATCAGGTATTGTATCTATATCTATGGCCCCGTATAGAATGACTCCAATTGAGCTTCGAGAATTAAAGGTACAATTTCAAGAATTGTTAGATCGGGGTTTTATAAGATTGAATGTGTCATCATAGGGGGTACCAATATTACTTGTGAAAAAAGAGAAAGACGAGTCTATGCATTTATGCATATATTATCATCAGTTAAATAAAGTGATAGTGAAGAATAAGTATCATCTTCCAAGGATCATGAACTGATGTGATCCTGACTAGCAGCAACTTTCTACATGACATGCTCACATCATTCAAGATCCATCAAGCTCAATCTAAGGGAGTTCTACCTTACTTTATCTTATATTTACTTATTTATGCACTATATATTATTATGAGCATACATTTACATATTATACTATACTTGAATTATCATAACAAGTGAATTCATTCTATGGTTTGCATTATTGATTGATATTCATACATATAATCTATAGTTATAATAATAATATTCATTCATTATCATATGATGAATGAGTTATTATTAAACTATAGTTCACATCTTTATATGTTTATACTTACCTTATATTATACTTTCTTTTTTAGGTACATAATTGGCCACATGATGGGAGCTAACTTAAAGCTAGCATTGGAGTCCAAGAGCTATGGAAATTGACTAGGACAACTCCGGGACAACTCAAGAACATTTTGGGACAAAGTTGCCAGCTAACCCCCGAGCTCATAGCTGACTTGAGCTGGACTTTTGAGCTAGCTAGAGGTCTCATTTTAGCTGGAGAGTTTCACCATCATCACCATCACACAGAGCACTTCAATTATGGTATAGGTCAATTTTTGTGGATTCGTACCTTTTCGTGAATAGTTTCCAATCCAAGAGGTGCCTTTTCACAAGGAGCTAACCAAAGACTCACCTACATGTCCTTCATCTATGGCCAACTTATCTTCAGCTCAAACACATGGAAAATAGCTCAAATGATGAAATGTTACCTTATACAAATATGACCTTTCATAACAAGTTGCTGCCCAATTGATGACATGTCATTTAGACACATGTTGGATGCCAAGTCACGCCTAACTTGCTGCTTATCTTCACGCCATGGAGGACTCCACACCTTAAGCCTTTTACACCACCCATGTAAGTGCCTTATGACCAGCCCACACATGTGCCATGCGTGTGGATAAAATGGGCGCCAAAGTGAAGAGGCTTCTCCCTATTCGGCCAAAGCAAGGTGTTGCTTTAAAGTTGGCGCCAAGATGAACCATAAGGAGACCATTCGGCCAAGGATATTTCCTTTCATCCAAGCATCATGCATTTTCAATTTAAATCATGTACTTTGCCGAAAAGGCATGTATCTATTTGGCCAAACCTTTGCAAGCCTATAAATAGGATTTGACATTCATTTGTAAACTCAACCCTTTTGATAATATAAATCTTTGAGATTATTCTCTCTTCAAGTTCTTTTTAGAACTATATCGATTAAGAAAACTTCTAAAGTTTGTGGCGTCAACCTCTTCCATAGATACTTCGAGTTCCTAGTTCCTATAACTAGTGGGTTCAAGTCCTTGCTACCACCCCTTATAACGACTTATAAGAATCGGGTCTTTGCTCATATATAGCATTGGTTCATTCTTAGTCTTATAAGATACTATCTAAATCACCATCATCTTTCATTACTTCACACGTACAACATTTTCACTTCAATCACCATCCCATCACCATAAACCATCCTTCAATCTTCATCAAGGTAAGCGTCCATCATCACCATTGGAGGCCGAATCATATTGTATTTGAAGGACAAATCAACAAAACTTCCACAGCCAACATTTGATAACATTTCTATCACTATCATTTCTTTCTATTTTCATTTCCATTCTTAATTTTCAAATTCCTTTAATCATTTCTTTCTTTATTTGGTGCATTTACTTATA